TTTCTTAAAGAAGGCCCTCCAAATTGTAGAAGCTTTTGGTCCCCAAATGCCAGACTTGTGCCTGGTGACCAGTAAAGTAAAATGAAAGGCCGTGGGCAGCTGAAAGCCAAGTGAAGACAGAGCACAACTGGCCACATGCTCTTTAGAGAGCAAGGACCAGAACCAGGAATTGGTCACAGGATCCAGCTCCTGGTGGTCCCAACGAGAGCAGCTTCAGCTCAAAGACTAAGACACTATAAACAATGTGTGGCACCTGGGTTTTTTTTTTTTTTTGTCCTTTTCTTTGTAACTGAACACTTAAGAGATCTGTCCATATCAGTACACAGACAGAGCAGTTTCCTTCTTGGAAGGGCTGCACCATATTGCATCATGCTGCATATACCACAATGTATTCAGTACCCCATGAGTGGGCATTTTAGTCATTTTAAACTTTATGCTATTTCTGACAATGTCCAGAATAATTAGCCTTCGACCGTGCCATTTTGTATCTATATGGGTATCTCCGTATATACACAGGCAGAAAATGTATCAAAGGCATATTCACTGAGAAGGATGATGGCTCTCTGGCTGTGGATTGACATCTTTTGTTATCTTTTATTCATCATTAAAGATTATTGCTCATACTTAAAGGATTTTAAAGTTTGGCTAATAGGCATTTACATGAATCATCTTAGTTCTCATGGTTTTTAGTCCAGTGACCTGGAGTTTTTATATATCTATAGTTGATAATCCTTTCTGATGTCTAGAACTATTTTTCTTATATTAGTCATTGGCTTGAAATTCCGAAATGACCTGCATTGTTTTAGAGGGAATTTCTCCAGTATTTGACAGTAAGTAACATTAACTTACATCGAGATGGCAAATGCTGGCTTTTCATACATGCTGTTATGCTCAGAAAATACACGTTTTTTCTAGTCCCTAAAGAGTTAGTATAAAATGAATACTAGGTTGCACAACAATGTGAATATGCCTAGCACTAGTGAACTGTATACTAGAAGTGGTTAAGGTGGCCGGTTTTGTGTTATTATCAGAATTTTAAAAATTTTAAATATGGATGCTATCAAATATAGTCCCACATATATTTTGATACATATTGAAGTAATCATTTTAAAATCTAACCTATTAATGTGAGTAATAATTTCTAATAATTATGCTCTAAAAAAAACTCCCATTCACAAAATGTTACCAAGCCAGTAAATAATATTAGTCTCTTCTCCCAAACCTTCCTGCATCACAGCGGCTGGCGGAGTAACACAGATGTGCTGACGCTGATTATCAGTGAGTGGGCCCGACGGGATCTCAAGGATTCTTACAAGAGAAAGAGAGAGGCAGCAGGGACCCAGTCGGAAAGAGATTTGAAGATGTTATCTACTGGCTTTGAAGACGCAGGAAGGGGCCGCCAGCCAAGGAATGCAAGTGCGCTCTAGAAGCTGGACCAGGCAAGACGGGGCGAGGATTCTCCTTCCCAGACTCCGGAAGCAGTTCGGCCTGCCAAGACCTTGATTTAGCCTGGTGCAGCCCATTTCAGGTTCTGCACTTCACAAGTGTAACGACATATTTGTTTCAAGTCATTAAATTTGTATTGATCAAGACCGCAATAATAAACTGATACAACTAATAAACTAATAGAACAATAAAGTAATACAACTAATACTATTAGAATGAAATAACAGAAAAAGAAAATGTATTTACAAATATCTCTCTCTCATTGCCTAGAGGAAAAGCAATTCCTGAAGAAATGTTAGTATTTCGTTTTAGCAGACTGGGAGGAGCAGAGTTATTTTAGAAGAAGTTCTGTGCTTAAACAAATCCCCCTCGAGACCCTGCTGCCCTAGAGAGGACAAGATACCCGAGACTGTTCTAAGAGAATACTGGTGACAGTAAGGTGATAATGCCAGAGGTGCTATGTCAGACGGTATGTACCAGTTACCAGCGAAGAACTGCCAACCCTATTTAAACCCAAGTGAGTGTTTTAACTTCTAAAATTCTAATTTTGGGATCTGTAAGTAAATGCCAGTTCACACTGGAAGCAGTTCGGTTTAGTATGCAGAATCAAACACCAGGAAATAGGAGACTCTGGAGGAATTCTTTCCCCAGAACTCCTTTAGCAATAAAAGGAGAGAAACATCCCTCTGAAAATCTGAACCCAAACTCCTACTGTGACTTCCACATTCCAACCCCCAGGGGGGGGGTAGGGAAATTAGCACAAAAATTATGTATATCGCAGAGAAGTGCACGAGTACACAGCTACAGAAAGAAGTAGGAAGACGTGAGTATACCACCAGGTAACTAAAAATCAAAGCGGAGCTCCAAGAAATAGGAGAAAATCAGAAAATATCTCCCTCTCAAAGGATCATAACTCCTCACCAACAATGGATGAACACAAGAGGTCACAGAAATTCTGGAAAAGAATTCAGAATATTTATTGTAACAAATCTCCATATGAATCAAGAGAAAACAGAGAAGCAACTCCGGGGGATGAAAAAGTCCTTCTATGACTTAAAGGAGGAACTCCATAAAGAGACAGACACACTGAAAAAAAATTAAACAGGATTTCTGCAGATAGAGAACACAATGCAGGAAATCAAAACCATCCTCAATAGTATCAACAGCATATTACATCGTGTGAAAGAAATCTCTAACCTTAGAGACAAAACCTCTAATTTAGTGCAAGTAGCCAAAAAGAATAGAAGAATAACCATTAAAAAAGAAGACAATATATTGACATCATTAAATATATGGACATCTTTAAATATAGACATCATTAAATGACCAAATAGTCACATAATAGCTACTCCAGAAAGCGAAGAGACAAAGTCAAAGAAAATCTCCTTTATAATTCTATTAGCCAAAAAGTTTTCAGAGTTAGAGAGGCATGTAGACATACAAATCCAGGCAATATGAAGGTCGCCAAATAGATATAAGAAGATTTCCTCCAGGGCATATCAGAGCCAAATTGGTAAAAAAAATCCAAGACAAAGGCAATATTCTATAAATGGCAAGAAAGAAATGCCAAGTTACTTAGAAAGGTTACCCCATTAGACTAACATCAGATCTCGCAGCTGAAACAATGCAGGCAAGGAAAAGATGGGAAGCTTCTGTTATGCAGATCTGGGGCTGGGGAGGGACAAAGTGGCTCATGACTCAAGCGTCACAATGGTTATGACTCAGTTTAGTAGCTCTTCTTGAATAAATGTTCCTTATTTGCTGACTTGTTGCATAACTTTAGACAGTTTCTAGAAGCTTCAAATGGTTTGGGTTTTGTTTTTAAATAGTTACTAGTTACAGCTTGTCTGCTAAGGTTCTGTGGAGCTCCTAAGGCCACAGTTCCAGAGGTGGTCATTTTCACTAATGTTTCAGAAGTACAAAGGTTCTCTATTATTACTACATAAATGAAGCATTAACTTTATTTATATATTTGAAATCTACTGAGTATGAAGAATATGGTACATATTAATTACATAAGCAAATAAACTTGTAGACTATTTTTGCATTTGTCAATTGTTAGTTAATAATTAACTTTATATTAGAGAATGGAATTTTAATTCTTTACTTTTTTTTAAGAGATTTTTTTTCTATAGGAAGCATGTGCTTGCCAGAGAGACAGAGAGAGACAGAAAGTAAGAAATCCTGAGGGGATGGCCACGGCACGATCCCTTCTCCTTCATTCTCCTTTTGGGATCTTGGGCACAGACACACACACACGCACACACACGAGCCTGGTGTGAATTTTAAGTCACCAGGTACGAGACTTGAACAGTGGTCAGCTACGTGAGAGTCTAGCAACCTAACCATTATACCATCTGCTGGTTCCACCTCTTTACTATTTTTTAAAATAAAATTATACATTTAAAATAATACAAATCTCTTTGAATTGTTTCTATGGTAATTTGAAATGTAAATTTTATAAATAAATTATATAAAATATCTATACTTCAGCTATTGAAATGTATGATGAATTAAACCTTCTTGAGGGATTTTTACTTAAATATATTCTCCCTCAAGCACATGCATACCACGACCATTACCACACAAAAACCTGCTCATCTAAACAGCTACCATGGCCATGTGCCGTTTCCTCCATGACATTTATACCGACATTCATTCAAAATTGTTATTATGATGCATGTGCAAACTTTATAAAAACCAAAAACACCATCTAGGCAATTCTATACAAATCACGTATTTTCCATTCTTGATAAATAATTTTACCTCAGTGGACGTGAAAAAGAACTAGGTAAGGTCCAAGCATCCGCAATACCAGTATATGAAATCGTCGAAGGGTAATCCTGACACGCCAAATTAATTTTGAAACATTTCATGATTATCTAATATCTTTAATAGAAAAGGATCTGTAAGCACTTACTCAGGACATCTGGTATAGCTTCAGTAGAAGCTGGACAGCCATTGTAAGGGTCTGTCAGTAACGAGGACAGGAACCCCACCTGTCAGTCTCCCGGCTGTAGCGCACATAGCTGAAGATAGCCCAAAGGCTCATCTGCGAACTCTGGCTCTCCTACAGTGAGAACAAACGCTAACCCGATACCAAATGCACAACGGTTAACCTAATAAGCACACCTTGCATTTCAGAAGGGCTTACTTAGTAATAAAGGTGCCTCCTGAAGTATCATGATTAGAAGGTAAACTGGAAACAAGAATAGCATGTATGTGAATTCTCGAGTTTATTCACTTCCTTTGAAAAGAGGCAGAGAAGCAGCCTTGATCAGATCTTCCAGCACATGCTCCCCAGCCCCGAGACAGGCCGGGCCCGTGGACATGCCTGCTGGGGCACCACGGCTCAGCCGGGCCCAGGACCAGACCTGGGGCCTTCCCACTCGGCTCCAGCACCATGCAGCAGTCCCCACTGCCTGCGGGGGTACCACAGCTCAGCCGGACCCAGGACGGGACCTGGGGCCTTCCCACTCGGCTCCAGCACCATGCAGCAGTCCCCACTGCCTGTGCCACGGAGGCTGGGCCTATACTTTATTTTTTAAACTTACCTGATATAAATAATCTTCAAATACAAAATAATAGTCATCATTGCTGGCTGTCAACTTCACGTCCTATAATTAAAAGTAGAGAGCACTTAAAAGAGCCCAAGGGAATCTGTCTGCAGTAGCACTAAAGCATACACGCTATTTAGAAACAATTTCAATGAAGTCGTTCCTCTGTGTATGATTATAAACTTCTCAAATAGATTTCAGCACTGCTCTGTATTTCTTTAACCAATATACATGGCACGTTATTTGACCTCAAATTCTTTGTACTTCTTATAGGTTCCACTAGTAATTTTTTATTATTTATTTATATTTTATCTCCTTTTAATCTAATATTTAGGGGTCTTAAAGTTGGAAAAGAAAATCAAATTCAATCATAACATCCAGAAGCAGCCATAACCATCTGGCCCCAAATTACTGTTCCGGTCTCCCCATCCATCGTCCACATACTTGCCATTCCCCCAGACACTAAGTATCTTCCATCCCTTTGTGGTTATTCACTTACAAGTCACCGTTGATTGCTGGGAGCCTAATGATATCAACTTTCTGCCATGTGCACTTACCTTTTAGAGGCCAGATCATTATCATTGATTTCATTTGGATAGATGATCAGTTCCTTCCATTAAATATAACTGTATTTCCTTTGGCTAGATTATTAGTTCCTGTAACTATATTAGCTATAACTATATTTCACTCCCGACCCATGACCGCACACTTCTTTCTCCCTGAGGAGTCTTCGCCTCTTTGAGCCTTACATCCTGACTATTTTTCACATACTGGAGCTCCCTCCCCAGGAAGGCCGCCCAGCACCCTGGCATGCCTCTCGGCTGCTGAAACTGCTGTCACTTCGGAGCTCCCTCCCCAGGAAGGCCGCCCAGCACCCTGGCATGCCTCTCGGCTGCTGACCCTGCTGTCCCTTCCTCAACAGCAGCCCCAGTGGCCCAGAACACAGCCACTCACCTTATTTTAGCATTTTGATTTTGTCATTTTTGTACACTTGTAACAGCTTCTGTAAGCAACCTGCTAAGCTGATTCTAAGCTACCAATTACTGTTTTTGTTAACGCTGTGGCTACAAAGTTGCAAAAGTTTTGATTGCTTTACCCCAACCCTAGTTTTCCATAAGCTCTGTTTTTTAAAAGTTTTTGGTGTTTTTAATGCATGATTTTGCAGGATGTGAGGGTTTTTCCTCCCTCTCCAGGAAAAAAATGCATTTATCATCTACATTCTAAATGCCAGTGTAGGCCACTCTTGCCCTAGGGCAGGTGCCTCCACGCCCTGTACTCACCATCTCCCTATTCCTCCTAAGGCTAGATGGTGAACTCTGTAGGGTTTCCAACACAGCATGGCACGTGGCAAGCAGCCCTTCAACATTACTAACTACTTGGCCGTATTTCACCCAGACAAATCTTCGAGTTCTGAACCTGCAACAATCTTCTCTCCTCCATTTCTGAGACCTGTAATAACATGCCTTTCTCCTCTACCTTTCGAATTCCAAATTTAAAATCCAAGTCTTTTAAACAGCCTCATTATTAATCCAGAATCCGTAGTTTACATCATGCTTAAAGCATCTATAACATGACTCTCACTGATTATCAGATACTCGAAAGCAAAAATTCGATGCACCCCTAACATAAAACTTATGTACTTATTAGCCATAGTCTAGAAATCAAATGAAATTAAAGTTTAAACATGACATTAATACAAAGAGAATAAAGAAATAGTCCCTAATCATGAAATAAGTAAGATGGAAATACAGTTTGACTTTCTTTTCGGTTTTTGTTTGTACAGAGAACTTGAAAGCATAGTGACGAGACATGCGAATCAGGAGGTGAGAGGGCAGGAAAGGACCACGTGGACAGCTTTCAAGGGCAGGGACGACAATGCTGAACGGAGACCGCAAGTTCTGAAGACTGATGCTAATTTACAAGTATAACGATCACTTAAAACAAGCGCTCAGTGTTAGCTGGTATCAGTGTACACAGCACAGGCCCCACATAGTGAAGACTCATCGTTTTAACGACTTAATGAAATGCAAAAACGATACATGCTTTTACTTACTTTATAAATTAGACTGTCCACCAAAAGGTCGTGCTGTATCACGTTGGTCTTAAGCTGCTCATAATACAAGATATCCTAAATTTAAATGTGAAAACAAAACAAAAACAACTCGAGAGCAATCCATTAATAACGTTAGCACCAAACTTAATAATAATGCCCATTAATAATAGTTTAACTCAGGGTAGGAATTCTGTTTTAGCCCCTTTTTGTCCGCCTGGCAGGCCAGAAGCAGATGCTCAATAAATACCCTGAATCCCGACACTCAGGGTGACATCTGCCACCTGGTGGGTGTTCAGTCAGAACTGCGGGATGGAATAGCTGCAACAGCAAGTCCAGTGTTAAGTGCGTAAGGTGCCTGGCACTGTCTGATCACTCTGTATGACTTAACTCACTTAATCCCAGCCCAACAGAATGAAGTCAGTCAGCGATTATGACTCCCTGCTACATCTGAAAAACTGAGGCCCAGAGAGAAAAGTAACTTGCTATCTAAGGCCTCTAAGCCACTAAGATTTGATCTGATCCCAAGAAACCTAGCCACGAACTTTCCCATAAGCCCAGAAGGATTACTTAGCATTGCCTTTTTACTACGTAAATTGTTAGTAAGTCAGCATGACAGATCACTCTTGTTGGTAAAAGCAACCCTACACCATATAAAAGTAGTCGGCTTTTATTATGAGAATATGGTCCCCCAACACTACAAAAACCTTAATAACTCTGTACAGTGATATGATTAGGTTAATGATTAATTAATAGAGAATAAGAAAGAGAGGAAAGGAAAAACGGAAAGGAGAGGGCAAGGAAGGAAAGGAGAAAGGGGAGGGAGGGAGGGAAAGATGGGGAGGAACTTGCGAATGTAAGGAAGATGAACCTCAGGTTAGTGGGGACATTAAGGATCGAGGGTCACAGATAGGCTCCAGGACATAGAAATGCGACCTCACTGCTCTCATCTCCGGGCCCCTTAGTGATCCCAGCCCGTAGTGGGAGGCTGCTCACTGCTCGGGGGCATAGTACACACTCATCTGTAGGAGTCTTTCTTTCCAAAGTCATTTCCTCAAACAAGGAAGAATTACGGGACCGTTTGCGGGGACAAGGAAGGATATTTATTGCACGGAGTTGACTTGCCACTGACCCCATGTTTCCTGAAATGTGATTTCTTGATGTTGAATGATGTTTAATATACAGTTCTCTGATTTGGTCAAAGTGTTCTTTGTCTAAGGATAATCTGGGCATTTACTGGCTATTTTTAGCCCTTTTAATATTTAATTTAAGAAGCCTTAACTAGTTCTCATTCATCATGTTTTGATTTTTTTTAACTATGCAACATTATTTTACTATTTTACTTACCTTCCACCGTATCTATTGAATTTATCTCTCTGGCTAGAATGCAAGGTCCTTAATGGTAGAAACAGCACTGAATTAAAATGCCAACTCTTGCCAACTGGCAAAGGGCCTGGCATTGTACCTTAGCTCTGGCTAGTGAAGCGGGACAAATGCTAAGGAGTTTATAGAGTTTGGCCTCTTTTCAAAAACAAAATAAATGGAAAGTTACAAACGAATATATATACATAAAAGAACAGGCCAGCCCGCATCACAGTGGGTAAGCCCTGTACATGGGGAGCTGGAGCCTATAAGGCCAACGGAGGTTGGAGTCCCTGCCCCAGCAGCTTGAAAAACATGCCAGGTGCATGTGTATGTGTGCTCCCAATCCTGCTGCGTGGAGAATGGAGGGGGGGGGACGGATGGCAGTGTTACCATGCTCCATTAGGGGGCACTTTCTGTCCCTGTCTGGCAAGCATACTCACCCTCTGGCAATAAAATAAAATACATTTTAAAACTCCAAAGCTAGATAAATTTAATCATTGTCCTTCCTGAAAAACCAATGTTACTTGTATTTTGCTCTGTATTTGTGCCTTTATGTATCATGTGTATTCTTCCACACCTTTCTCCATACCTACATGAACACAGTTGTGAGTTTTGCTTGATTTTTAACATGAAATGGATTCATACTATACTCATTTCAGCTTCTCTAATTTAACAGTCTATCGTGGCTATGTCTCTATGATAACAAATACATACACGACTAATTCACTAATTTAAGCACTGTGTATGCTTTAATATTTATTTTAAATAACTATTTCATTTAACTTTATTTATGTATTTATTTTTTTCAATTTGACCAGAGTGAGTGAGAGAGAGAGAGAAAGTGAGAAAGCAAATCGCCAGTTCCGGGACTTGAACCGTGGTCGGCTATGTGGGAGTCCAGTACCCTTAACCACCATGCTACCTGCTGGCCCCTGCCTTAATATTTTCAAAGCTGTGTATAGATATATCACAATTTATTCATCATTCCCCCCTAGATGGATGGATTCCAGTTGTTCGTGTCTACAAATAATGCTGCAATAACTATCTTTATAGACTACGCTTTTATACCTATGGGATAAACGGCCAGTGAGATGCTAAACTGAAGGCTGTCTGTGCCGTAAATTGGGATACAGATTGCCTAACTACTCCCCTCCTCCCGAAAGACACCATCACCTACACTAGAGCGTACTTTATCTAAATCCTCACCCCTTTAATCTCCTCGTGCATGAAAAATGGTATGTCATTATGTTAATTTGCACTTTCTCAGCTGATGATAAAGCCGAGGGTGTTTTTCAGTTGGAGACCCTGACTACTGGCCCTTTGAATTTGTACGGCAATGATCTTCCTTTCATAACATTTACCTTTTTTCTACTCGACTCTCTCTCTTGTAACGATTTACTGGATTCTTTGTAAGTAGAATGAACCCTTTGCTACTTGTGTGCAAATACGTTTTCTTCAAATAATGAATTATTGGATTGTTTATGTTATACACTGAACATTTCTAAAAACTTCTTTTTGGGGCCAGATGGTGGTGTGTGGTTAAGATGGCTGGATCCCACGTGGCGGGCTGTAGTTCAAGTCCTGAACTGAGAAGTTTGAACACATGCTGTGCACATGCATGTGTGTCCAAAATCCTGAGAGGAGAATAGAGAAGGGACTGCAGCATGGCCATCCCTCCTGGGGGGCGGATTTCTCACTCTCCCGCTTTTTCTTTCTGTCTCCCTCTAGTGAGTGCACATGCCCTGTAGCAAACTAAAACAGACAGACAAACCCTTCGTGGTTCTGTGTTTTATTTGTTCTAGAGAAAGCTATTGATTTCTGTACATTTATTTTCTATACATCTGTCTTACAAAAATCTTATTATTGTAATCTTTTTTTTCCTTTCCTTTCCTTTCTTTCTTCCTTTCTTTCTTTTTTTTTTTTTTTTTTTTTTTTTTTTTTTTTTTTTTTTTGAGGGATTTTTGCTATAGGGCCTGTGTGCTCACCAGAGAGACAGAGAGACAGAAAGCGAGAAATCACCCTCCAGGGGGGGATAGCCACACCGCAATCCCTTCTCCTCTTGGAATTTGGGGCACGCACATGCGCCTGGTGCGAGTTTCAAGCATCCGGGTCCAGGATGGGAACCACGGTCGGCCATGTGGGTGTCCGGCAACATAACCGTTACACCATCTGTTGGTCCCATAAATTATGAGTTTTCTAACTAATGAATGCAAGTAGTAAATTGAATTAGGCTATTTTTCCACCCAGTTATGTACAGTCCTTAAAGATCTGACAACATTGCTGAACCTGTCACAGTTCTGGCTCTGTGGCTGCTGTCTGAAAACAGCAGGATTGTGCAACTGCTCTGTACTGCTTCAAGGAGCCCTACGCACCAATGTGAATGACTAAAGATGGCTTCCTGAAGAAAGACACTACCAGCATGTTGTGAGTAATCCACGTCTCTAACTCCAGACACTGAGTCAGCTACTCTGATCCGTGGGTTCTGTGTCCACAGTTGTGCATTTGCAGATCCAACCAATGGCAGCTGGCATTTCCTCCACTGGCCAGATGGGGACCCTGCAGGTTTGGAGGGCTGGCTGTAAGGGACCTGGGCATCCCAGGATTCTGGTGTCCACAGGGCGTCCTGGACCCAACCCTCCACATGTACCAAGAGAAGGCGGTGTAACAGTACTAGTGACAAAAATCTCTTTCCGATTCTAGAGGGGAAAGAAGAGCTCAGAGAATCAGACTGAGAAGGGGATCTGAAAGTATCTAGTCTCCTTTTCTCATGCGCACATTTAAAAACGAGAGTTGGCCAAATTAACTATCTGGCTTGTGACTGAACTAGTCATCATAGTCGCCAGCCTACACGAACGGGTTTCAATAGTTCTCAGCGTAACTATCCACGAGATGAGAGAAAAACACGGAGAGGAGAGCCCAAGTCACAACATGTGGGGACAGTTGGTAAGGGGCGTGGAAGCCGTCGGAATCACAGCGAGCCATTCGTGTCACTGTGTGTTTAACCCTGCCTAAACCAAGGAGGAGAAGGCTTTGGGGGATGGCACTCTCGAAAGGATGTACGTGTGCTAACCAGCAGTCAAGGCTCTGCCAGAGCCACGGCTTTGCACGAAGACCACTGCAACCTCACCCGAAAAGCACTCCCACGGGGACATGTGCCCAGAAACCGTCTGTCCAACCAGGGCTGACGTCATCCTTGTCACTGATCCTGTAGCCAAGGATAATTGTCCCCAGACAGCTTATGTAATCCCTTCTCATTTTTCTTTTACAAACCCTGTCTTTCCTTACCTCCCTGAATAGGACCCGGTACACCAGGCCTAGGGTGTCTTACACGGCAATGCCTATCGCCAGTAAGTATATTTACCCTCGTAGAGTCTTTCTGCCTGTTAATAAGAAGTCAACCGGAACAAGTTTTATGTTTACACTATCTCTTTAGCTTAAGAAAAGAAAGAACTCATAATATAGTCAACTGCTGATTTATATGAGCCTCCCATTTCTAGACAATATACACAATGACATTACAAATAATGGGAAAAACACTTTAGAAAAAAGAATAGGCTTATTTAGGGTCAGGCGGTGGCACAGCGGCAACACAACTGGACCCACGGGGGAAAAGCCCTGGATTCGCGTCCCAGGCCCTCCTCGGGCATGCCAGGCCTTTGTACACATGCTTGTGGTCCAGGGCAGTGAGGGCGAGGGGTACACTGTGGCATGGGAGCCCTGTGGAAGTACCTGCCTTTCTGTCTCTTTTTTCCATTCTTTCATAGAAGAAATGAATAAACTTTCAAAATCTTTTTTTTTTTTTTTGAGAGGTTTTTGCTACAGGGCACATGCCCTCGCCAGAAAGAGAGAGAGACAGAAAGCGAGAAATCACTCCCAGGGGGATGGCCACGCTGCAATCCCTCCTCCTCCATTCTCCTCTCGGGATCTTGGGCAAACACATGCACCTGGAGTGCGTTTAAGCCGCCGGGTCCGGGACTCGAACTGCAGTCGACTACATGGGAGTCCAGCAACATAGCCATTACACTAACTACTGGTCTTGTGTGCCCTCTCTTTCTAATGTGCCACCTACGACAATTATTTTGGAACTGCCAGAATGTGTCAAGATCACACTTGTACAGCTAAAATTAAATGTAAGTGATAAAAAATATTTTAATCAATAAAATCAAGATCACTTTTCTGAAAAAATTAATTGATATTATTTAATTATTAATAGATAATTTTCTGTTTACACTCACTTTGCATTTAGAAAATTCAGGTGGCAGGACCAGCAGGTGGTGCAACGGTTACACCACTGGACTCCTTTGTAGTCAACCAGGGTTTGAGTCCTGGACCTGGTGGTTTAAAACCCATGCTAGGTGCATGTGTGGGTGTGTCCAAAATCCTAAGAGGAAAGGGGAGAAGGGATTGGAGAGTAGCCATCCCCACTGGGAGGTCGTTTCTCACGTTCTGTCTCTGTCCCTTTCTGTCTCATTGGCAAGCACGTGCATCCCATAGCAAAACTCTCTAAAAAAAAAAAATTCAGGTGGCTATTAGCTTAATAACACAAGTGTGCAAGCCACATTTAAACAGTGTAACCAATAATCATTATTTAGAATTATAACTTTATTATCTGTGATTATTATCTAGAATAATTAGTCTGATATTTACGGAAACACTCTAAATTTGTTTTCCAAACATCAGGAACTACTCTGCAAAGAAACAGAATCTGTTCATCTGGTTCCTGAACAATGAGGTTAGCAGGACACCTTCAAAGTTAGAACAGGACAAGAGTGACTTCTGAAAATGCTGACATATACACAAAATGCCCAACACACACTCAAAACTATTCTGTAACCTGTTACCTCTAAAGTGTTAGCGCAAACGATCAGTAGTATCATTCAGTCTAAAACTGCTGTGAGATGAAACCTACGTTTTATCCTTTCAAAAGAAAGCAAGTGATTTTGGACAGTACTGTTCATAAAAGATTTAAAACACACAGACACAAGCACACATGCACACATGATTTGTAAAGCTGAGAGGTATAGTTTTATAGCAGATATTCATGATGCTCAATATTCCTTAAAATTTCATTACTAATTATAATGAATTGATAACATAATTATATGGTATTTATTATCATAATTATTGCCATTAACGGTGATCACTCATGTGCCAAGCACTGTTAAAGATCCACATACATGATTTCATTTGCTTCTCACAACAATTCTCTGATATAAACATTATCAGCTCTATTTAAGTATGGATTAACCGAGATTTGAAGACATTTAAATAACTTGCTGTATTATGTACTTTCTGTAATTTGGAAAAGTGAGGGTTGAAACCAATTCTATATGATTCCAAAACTCATTTTGTTTTTAAGACAGATTTTTGCTATAGGGTGCATGCACTCGCTGGAAACACAGAGAGCCAGAGAAAGAGAAAGTGACAAACCACTCCCCAGGGGGGATGGCCATGCTGCAATCCCCTCTCCTCTACACCACCCACTGCCCCCTGCAAAAATCCATGTTTTTAACCACTAAACTAGGGAACTATTAATGTGCTATATTCATTAAAGTCTTTAAATGGATAACTTCTATGATTAAAAAAACTAATAATATTTTAAAAATCAATGTCTTATATAATTTTTCTTTACAAAGTCTGTTGGCTATTTCTTTTTTATTTGTCATATTTCCTAGAATAAAATGTTCTTATACTTAGAAAAATAATATTCCCACATAATCTCTCAATTTTTAGAGCCATAAAAATACTGCATATTCAAAGGTGGCTGCAGGGTCACAGAACTCACTGACTTACACTGAGCTGCCCTTCTTTACTTCTCCCCACCGGAACACCTGGATTCCACCCCACATCTCCGCTGATGCAGACTGTTAGACGCCACTACCAAAATTGTGCTCGCAGTTCTGTTGTGGGTGTAATGCCACACTGCCTAATTATTAACAGCAAAGCTTCTATGTTAAGCACATGGTTATTTAAATATATGTTAAATCTTGTCTTGCAATGTAAAACTACAGTGATTTTAATAATAAAAATGGGAGAGGCAGGAAAATAATAGAGTAAGAATTACAAGTCTATTTTGAATAATGTGTCTTTGAAAACAAGGCCTAGGCTGCTCAGATAGGCCCCGCCCCACCCC